AGGGGGTGTAGATCGAAGCCCCCACGGTGAGGGAGGGAGTGGGGCAGGGGCTAGGGTGAGTGGGACCCCAGGGCCAGAGCAGGAAGTGGGACAAAGCCACGGATTTGTGCGCAGGGCAGAGCCAGGCTGCCCGCTATGGGCTGGGGCTCTGTGCTCCGCTGCCTTTGCCCTGGGAGACTCATGCCAGCTCCAAGTCCCCTGCCCGCCTGGTGGAAGGAAGCAAAACATGATGTCACACAGATCCCAGGGCAAAAGTAACAGAGTAAAAAGCCCCAGCCTGCAGCCTGCCTCGCACACAAGTCCAGGGAGCATATGCCCCCCCATGCCTTCTCCAGGGGTGTGCACAGCAGAGAGGCGCTGTCGCGCCTCCCCCCTGCTGCTCCTCCCAGACGAGCCTCCTGAGGTCCCATCCCATGTCCGACCCTGGCCCCTGGGTCTCATGACCCCTGCCCCACTCCCTCCCTCAGCCTGGGGGCCTCAATCTGCCCCCCCACACCTCTTCCCCTACCCCTCAACGGACTTACCTGCTGGGTGCTGCTCTACACCCTGCAGGGCTGCATTCCTGGCCACATGCATGCTACAGCTGTGGTCCAGAGCTGGTGATGACTGCAATAGAGAGGAGCCCAGGCATGCACTTCAAAACCATGTGTGCAATTAATGTGTTAAAATAATTAACACGTTACTTGGCTCTTGTGTTAACCATGCAAATTAATGCCAGTTAATTGACAGTCCTATTCAATACACTAAATACACTAGCAAAGACAAAAGCAGACTTCAGCTTACAAATCATTTAATGTTTGCTGCTGTTCTTCATGTGAGATTCCTTGAAGTCCAAACTCGCCAGTCTCCTACCATGCTAAGACTCATAAGTACATATTATATTGTAAACTTTACAGCTATCAAAAGAATGCTGCTGGGATATGAAACCAGCACATGAGATCACGTTAGTGGATTTTTTTTGTACAAAGGTATCAGGCAGAGGAGACCTAGTATATCTGGCAATTAGCAAAGTCTCTTATTTTTTGGACTCCCTGCTGCAGAGGGTTCTCTCATAGTTGGCAGCACCATGGGGTAATACATTGAGGGAGGCCATAACAGAAGATGGCAATCTAGTGTGGGTTACAGAAGGCCTTAACAGTCACCATTAAAGTCACGATGAAAACAGCATCTAAGAGATTTACAAGTTTAAGAACTTAGCTTTGGTTTCACCAGAATATTAGTCTTCTAGCGTGAATCATGAAACTATCAAAAAGTAAGACCAAGGGAAGCAGTATCCTAAATAATTGGACACTTATGTAACAAGAGACAATTCTCTGCTCAGTGTCTCCTAGAGTACCACAGTGAAGTTTTTATAAGGTTGGAGTAGTGTTTGTTACAGTGGCTAAAGTTTATGTTTAAAAGAGCTGTGTGTGTAAAAAAGACAATGTCTTGCTGAAGTAGAATTGGAAGAGAATTCTATACTTAAGCAGCAGAACTCAAAGAAGACAACAAAACAACAGGGACATCAAGACTTAATAACCCATTTGCCCTTTTGTTCTATAAGCCTGCCAGCTCTTCCACAGAAACACTGGCATACTAATGCCTGCTCCTGTCAAATGATTCTTTAGGCTACTAGCCTTTTCTTACAATCCCTTCAAGATCCACCTCTGCAGAGATGCCCCCAGGAAACTAGTAAACTTAAACATTTACCTGAAAGAGCCAAGGGGAATGATGATACCCATCTACTGATTTTAAAAATATACATATACACCATATTCTCTCTCAGACAACACACCCTAAAATATATTATTTTTGAAAGGAAGAATGAAGGAAAAAAAATATCTTTCCTTGTAGGCAGTAACTGAGTATCAGCAGCTAGGGAGCTGGCCTGTTCATTGTTCTGCTCCCTGGAGACAACTGCTTTTACTGTATTTCTTATATATAATGCATACTCCAGTCTCTTTTGGGGGGTAAAAAAGGTACATGTTGCAAGTGAGAAAATACAATATTTACATTTGAAGCCATAAAGATGTGCACTAGCTGATCAAATTATCTGTGTGACCTAATCACATAGCTATCATAGCCTTTATTTCCTTCCCCTCCTTCTGTTTTGTTACCCTTACTTATTGTCTCTTATTAAACTAAACTGTTGGAGCCAGGCCCAGAATCATGTTTATACAGTACCAAGCACCATGGGGTTCTACCATACTACTCAAAATAAAAACCCAAGGTATGGTGAATATACACATCCCCCTACATGTGTTATCCAGAGACTGGACAGGCAGGTCAGCTGCATAAAAGCTGAGTGGGGCAGGTCACAGAAATATGAGGAAAGGGCAGAGGCATAACAAGCAGGTGCTGTGCCCCAGGTGGCAGGGACCAGGACAGCAGCAATGGCCACCACTCCCCTCAAAGTTGGTGTCTGCGGTTGGTATTCCAGTCACCCACCCCTAGTTACACTACTGGGAAAGTAACCAGGCTATAGGGGACTGTGGGCACACCTACACATGATATTAATATGCATTAGGCTTATTACACAGTAAAATACTGCACAATAAACCAGCCATAGGAAGAAATCTACATAAGCAGCCTCTTGGGAGCAGATTTGTTGCTTATGGGAGTAGGCTAATCCAGCCCTCCTCCTGCCCCCCTGCAGCGACCAGGGGGAGCTGAAGGCTCTGGCCAAAGCTGCCTAGGTGCCAGGGTGCTCTTTAAAAGACAGTCTCATGTGGTGTTCCCCAGCCACATGCTTTTCTGGCCCACAGCTGTCTACAACCTCCTAGCAGAGTCCCCTATGACACTGTCTGCAGAGCATGTGCCCAGTGTGCAATGGCTGCTGTATGCCCAGGCCACAGGCTTCTGTTTGCCATCATGCTTTGCTGCCACAGTGACCACCACCTGACCCAGCACAGCTTCAACCCTAATGGCACCCTGTGCCATGCAGCCATGTGGCCCGGCTCATCACCATGCCTGTGGCCTGCTGCTCCCAGATTGCTTCCTATCAGCCCCCGGGCTGCTGCCCATACCCCAGCAGGGATACTGATGACACCCACACTAACATCTCTACTGGTGCCGTCCACAAGCTCCTGGGGTTCCAGCCTCACAGCTTGTAGGCCTGCCCTGCCAGTGAAGACTGGTGGCTCCACATCATCCAGCACACATGGGATAAGCAGTGGGTGGATTCCTTCCAGATGACCTGGGCCAGATTCCAGGAACTACTTGACCAGCTGTGCCCACACCTTAAGCAGTAGCCCACCACCATGTGGCCATCCCTCCCCACAGAGATGCAGGTGGTGATCATCCTCCTCAAGCTTGCCATGCCTGCAAGCCTGCAGTATGTTAGCCACCTTCAGGGTGGAAAAGACTAGCACTGGGAAGTCATCCTGGAGGTTCGTTGCGGCTTCCAGGATATGCTGAGCCACACTGGGCTCCAAGTCAACAACGTGCTGACGGTGGTGGTAGGATCGAGCCCTGGGATTTCTCCAGTGCGTCAGGGCCCTGGACAGGATGCGCATCCCTGTCACCTGCCTGCCCTGAGGGACAGCTGATACTACAGCCAATGGGGCTTCCACTTGGTCATGCTTCAGACTGTGATGGACCACCAGGGTGCCTTCACTAATGCCAGCACCAGCTGGACTGACAGTGACCATAATGCCTGGGTGTTCTGGAACTCTGCCTTGCCAGTCCTGTAAAATGTAAAATGTGAAGGATTTATGATGAAAGTCTGAAATATTTGAAAGTTTTCCTCAGCATGAAATAGAGGAGGATAAAAAATATCCCACTGATTTCAGAACTCATTGGAAGTCTGAAATAGATGAGGTTCTCTCTCCAACACAGATTTTAATCTGTGGAACTCTGCCTTGCCAGTCCTGGTGGAGAGCAGGCATTTTCTGTCAGGTGTTCTGAACCTACAGCTGGGCAATGCAACTGTCCCACCACTCTGCATCAGGGACCCTGCCTACCTGCTCCTGCCCCGGTTCACGCAGCCCTACACCAGCCAGCTCGACCCATGCCATGCACATTTCAACAGGTGCCTGAGCCAGAACCACGTGCTGGTGGAGTGCGCCTTTGGCCACCTGAAGGGATGCTGGCACACCCTCACCGCCCACCCCAAGGCCACAGAGGCCAACATCCCCATGGTCATTTTTGCCTGTATCCTACGTAACATCTGCAAGGTCAGGGGGAACTCTTCCACGAGGCAAGGGTATAGGAGGCACAACAGGCAGAGGACTTCTGGCAGCAGGAGGGTAGCTGTGACTACAACGACAGTGACAGA